GAGTGCGAGTGTGAGTGTGAGTGAGAGCGTCCCGGCCCCGCCGCACGCCCCCGCCCGCTGCCGCCGTGAGAGAGCAACAGATAGTGTGTGCGAGCCCCGGGCGGGGGAGAGAGGGAAGGTGGGGATTTGCTGCTTTGCTTTTTTTCCTCTCCCCACCACCCCCCCGCTTTGTTTTTTTTTTTCTTCCTTTTCTTCCCCGGGTTTAATTGGTCGCGATTGTTAAATCGCCCCCAATTTGGAAGGTATTTGAACCACGTAGATCGGGTTTCGCCGAACGAGATCACGAGTCGAAATTAGTAGGTCTGTAGGCCAGATGTTGCAAACGCTAAAGCAGCGGCAGCAGGAGCCGCTGCCGGAGCAGAAAAGGACCCCTCCCCCATACCGATATTGGCTTGGAAWAAAATATTTTGTGATTAGCCTACGGCTCTAATTAAATTCTGCTGTCTGATTATTCCTGATTTGTGTTTTTAAAGTATTTTCTGAGGCAGTGACCCACTTCACGATTACATTTCCATGCACTCAAGTAGTGGGAGAAGCGACGTTATCAGGGAAACATTCGAGCTTTCCCAAACCTCAGCCCCGAGTGTGTATTTACGTTGAATTTAAACCCTCGAATAAGATGTAACCCGAAACTAATGCACGCGAATTAACGGTGATCTGGAGCGCTTATCAGCGCTGGGGTGGGCAAAATATCACGGACCCGAGTGATTTCCTTTTTCGGGGGAGGGGGTGCCGTGTGCGGGGAGCCGGCCAGCTCCCTCCCTCCGTGCTGCGATGCGGGGAAGGCTGGCCCAGACCCCCCCCCCCCCCGCCTCCATGGCACCCCCATCCCCTTTTAAGGAGCAGAAACGAGCGTCAGAACGATCGTTTCCCAAAGACGGGTAATCTCCTCCGAACGCCTCTTGTTTATAAACAAGGATGTTAAAATGATTCCGATAATGAAGGGCTTCGGAGCGAGGAGAATCGGCCCAGCCGCCCACCTCCCTYTCCCCGCGGATTGCCGGGGCTGGCGGGATCGGTGGGCTTGGTGCGGACGCCGAGAGGCGCCTCTCGGTAACCTCGGCGAGAGCAGCCGGTTGCTTTCAGCCTCTCGAGGGAATATTTCGTTTTTTGGGAGGCAAAAAGGGGCATTTGGTTGGTGTTTTTTACGGGGGGGATGGAACCTCTCCCTCCCTCCCACCGCATTTCACGCACAGCCCCTCCGCCGCCGCTGCCGCCACTCCCTTTGTCTCGGCCGCCGCCGCCCGCCCCGCCGAGCACGGCGCAGCAGCGTCCCGCTCCCCCGGGGGCAGCCCCCCACGCCCACCCGTGCGCTCSGCACCGGCAGAGCCCGCAGCCCCGGAGCCGGCCCGGGGGGCGACCGCCAGCTGTGCCGGGGTGACCGCCCTCGGCAGGGCGGGGGTGCCGGGGCTCACACCGCCGCGCCCCGGGGCTCCCTCGGCGGGGCCGCGCCGCCGGCCTGTTTCCCTGGCGACGGCGGGGGGCGGCGGGGCCTCCATGGTGCGACCGGGAGCGGAACGGGGCGGGGGCGGCTCTGCCCGCCCCGGCGTCACCTGCGGCCGCCGGCCCCGCTGCTGCGGGGCTGGGCTGGGCTGGGCTGGGCTGGGCTCGGCGGGCCCGGGTGGGGCCGGAGGCGCCGCGGCGGCAGCTCCCGGGGGCTGCGGTGGCGGGAGCCGCTCTCCGGGGATCCCTCGGCTGCCGCCTCTCCCGGGCGTGCGAGCGGAGCGGTGTGCGGCGGCGGGCACCGGCGGCAGAAGGGATGGAGCGAGCTGCGGAGGGCTCACCTGATGGCGTGACGGCAACTCTACCGGGGCACGGCCAGACGGACACCTTCCTTCTTCGGGATCCTCCCCCGCTTCTCAACTCCACGCGTTGCGTTTCCTCCGCTCCTTTTAATCTGGATATTAAGCAAATCGTGATTTTGTTGATGGTGGTTTGGGTTTTTATMTTTTTAGACTGATTGATCCCAACAGATCCTAAGAAGACCTGCTGGAACACCATGACGGGACTTCGCAATCCGTATCAAAASGCACCTGTCCATCCTGAACGGGTATATGCAATTTCACCGGCACGGGCACATGCATTTCTACTTTCCATCGTGGCTACAACTGAATTTCAGAATAGTGTCACTGAAAAATTTCACAGAGTGACTGGGAGTTTAGAAGGTGTGCTCTGCATTATGCTTTTGATATGTTTTCCAACCATTTCAATGTTTTACAACTTGAAAAGAAAAAGAGAAAGTGGAAAAGAAAAAGCCTAGACTGCTCTTACTCTAGGTACCTAGTTCCACAAGCTCTTCTGTAAAGTCCCTGGACAAGCACAAAATTGGGAATGTATGTATGGTCCCTCTGTCAGTCCCAGTGCAATTAAAACCTGGACAGCTATCTGTAACCCAAACCCTTAACCATGAGGTACGAATGCAAGATTTAACCCCTTGAATGACCCTTGGGTCCATCCATTACTAGGCTGCTCCTTGTTGCTCCACATCTTTGTGCACCAAGCAAAGAGATATGCTGGAGGGAAATTCCTCTTTCTTAAACTTGCACTTTACTCAAGTTCCTGATCTTTTAATCTCCTTCCAAGACGCAGGGAGAGGGAAAAGAGAAAGACACAAAGATGAAGAAGAGAAAGAGAAAGAGAAAGAGAAAGAGAAAGAGAAAGAGAAAGAGAAAGAGAGAAAGAAGAGAAAGAGTGAGAGAAAAAAAAGAAAGAAAAGGAAGACCACATAAGTGTTTTGGAGCAGGACTAATCAGTTATGAATATGAGAATACCAGTTTTCTACAATGCCTTCCACATAAAAAGCTGTCCTAGAATTTCTGTGGCAGGAACAAGGATGTACTAGTGTAAAGTTGCTTGTGTATAGGGTGTTAGAGATTTAGAGCCTGAGAAAAGTGGTACCRTTGTCAAGTGTGTTTGTGTTAAGGCTTTTACCACAATAGCTGTGTCAGAAAAAAACCCATGATCCCCCCTGTGTCATGTGTAGTGATATTTCCAAGAACATGACAATCATAACTGACAGACAGCTCTGTGGAACCCAAAAATGAAGGGCTGGGGAGCTGTTCTCAGAGGGGCTTGTTCCTCTAAAGGTTTAAGGACCACATCCTGATTTCTAATAGTGTGTTACACCCCACAGATGAAGTTGCCTTTTTGCAGTACTTCCAAAATGTGACTCCTATCAGCACATTTTTCCTGAGGTGTTTTCATCCACAACCTTTTGGTGAGGCAGAAGACTGAGGCGTGGACTGGTGAAATGCTTTGTACAGTTCTGCCCAACAAATCCGCTTCACATCTGACTCAGTGTTACTGATTCTTGGCTGTGACTTCATGATCATTAATATTAAATCTGTGCCTTGCAGCTACAACTTTGATTGGGCATAAACACAAACTTTCCTGTCCGGCTAGCCAGGTAGAAGCGTGTCAACTTTGCACTAATTACCTGTGGAGAGGCCAGGAGAAAAACTGATAGCTTTTGGCCCAAGAGCAGCTGAGGCAAAGTTGTCCCTGCAAAGTGTTTGTCCACATCTAGAATGAAAGCCAGGTTATGTGACTGTGGAAATCCTGACTTTACATCAAGTCCTCCTTTACCACCCTATGGAAGTGTGGCTTCTGACTCCTGCAGCCACTGCCAGACCTCCCAGCTTGGTAGTATCCAGATTTTTTTTTTTTTTTTTCCCCAATACTGTCTAAAACATTCATTTTCATCCATTCCTGAAATACAGGTGAATGAAATGATATTTTCATTTACCAGTTCGGGAAAAGGAGAAAGCTGCTCAGTAACAGCTCCCTGCCGGTAAGGCAGAGGCAGCTGCTCACTGGAATCCCAGAAAAACCCACCAATGACAYACTCTGCTAAGGTAAAAGCACAATCATGAACATGTTTGAACTCCTGCTAAAATTTGAAACTTTAAAAAACATGTCCTAACTTGCCACTCATAGTCAGGACACAAATGTATTTTAATGTGTGTGCTGGCAAATGCACTAAAATGCAACACACCCTGTCAACACTGAGAATTTGAAAACATGTTCATTAAAAGTTTTCACTGACACAGTTTTTTGTTGTTGTTGTTGTTGTTGTTGTTGTTTTGTTTTTGGTTTTTTTTTTGTTTTTGTTTTTGTTTTTTTTTGTTTTTTTAATGCACCTTTATCCTTGTCCAGGAAAGCCTTTAAAAAGAAAGTGAATATAAGAGCAGTTTTGGGAGCTGGAATCCAATGTTTACAGAAATCCTGAAACCGTGTGTGCTTTCTAGTGTTCACATTGTGACTCACTCTTCCCTGGGTGAGCTCTGAGGAGGTGCTGGGAAAYCTCCTTGTGTCCTGGGGTGCACAGAGACATTTCCTGCATGCAGAGAGAGCAGCAAGCAAACTAAAAAATGATGACGTTTACACTGAGAGATAATGTTCCCTATATGCTCATCTATCACAAGTTCTTCTCTTGTCCCAGTCCTTATGGAAAAATTGGGTAGCATAAGCATGGGACAGAAAACACCTTTCTTTCCCAAGAACTGTCAAACTGGAACAGTTCTGGTAGTGGCAGAATAGCATAATATGAGCCAAATAATGTTAAAAGTTTCAAAACTAAATTCAGATTTGCAGAATAGTTGCATCTTTTCTGGTTTCTTAAAAAGGAGTGTTTCATGATGTCTGAATCAGCCCTGAGACTTCCTACTGACACATCACTTCAGTTTCTTCACACTTTACTCCAGTTTGGTGCAATGCTATCGAAAGCTTTTAACCTTTGTGTCACTCACAACCATTACAAGCCCTTTACTAATATTTGCCAAGCTTTTATTAACTGAATACATTCAACARTGTTTGTTAAATAGGATCCAGACTGTTTGAATGTCCAGTGTGCTGGGAAACTGAATACTTAACAGAGCTTATATATTTTTAAAGTATCATACAGCTGGTMTCTCTCATAGATAATAAAAAAGATATCTGTCAACCAACTGGATAGCTGGCCTCCAGTAATGAGGCTGGTTACTTCTGGAAAAAAAAAACCCAAAAACAAACAAAAACAAAAAACAACCCACAAATGAAAATCAAGAATTAGAAAACCCAGAATAAATGCAACCCAACTTCCCCCCAAAAAATTCTTAGATGGTACAAAAGGAAAAACACTTTGRGAAAGCCCAGGGCTCTCCTTTAGGAGCAATCACAGTGAGACAATGACTAACAGGGAAAGTGTCAGTATGCCACTAACAGACTGGTCCATGCCATATGGTGATTTTGCTTTAAAAAAACACCATTTCAGCAGCAAAGAAAGGACATTGGGGGCCCACTAAACATTAAGCAGGGTGTAGACTAAAAAAAAATAAGAGATAGCAGCAGAGAGTTGTAAACACTTTACATCCTTCAGTTCCAAGTACAAATACTGCTCCAG